TTACGCAAAGCGTTTCGGGCATGAAAAACTTAAATGACTAAAGCTTAATACTAATTGAGCATAAAGAGTAAAATGAATACATGGAATGAAAACATAGCTGAAAAAGCAGCACAAATACAATTCTGTCGACAAACAGCGCTCTTTAAAAAAACAGACATTGGTTGACAATAGAGTGGTAAGGTAGGTTACAGGGAATTTATTAGGTATAGCTTCGTTTTTATCTTAAACTGGTTGAGAGAGGTACAGTCTTTAACATGGTTGGGAAGGTCATTCCACAATCTGGGTCCCTTGATTTGTAGAGCATTTCTAGTTTGATTAAATCGTACTCTTGGAATATCAAAACTGTATTTATTTCTGGTGTGGTGCTCATGGGTTCTGTTAAAACCTTCTATGAAGCTTTTGAGGTCAGGATTGGCATTACAGTTTAGCGTTTATATATGTATAATACACATGAGAGAATGTGCAGTGACTTAATGTCTAACATATTCAGAGATTTGAGTAGGGGTACCGAGTGATGTCTGGGGCCAGAGTTGGATATTGTCCTAATAGCAGCTTTGTGTTGAGTAATTAGAGGACGTAAATGATTTTGGGTAGTAGAGCCCAAGCACAAATACCATAGTTGAGATATGGATAGATAAGAGAGTAATAGAGAGTCACCAGGGCAGGGTGGGGTACATAATATCTGATCTTAGAAAGAATGCCAACAGTTTTTGAAACTTTTTTTGATATATTTAGAATGTGTCCCTGGAAATTCAGCTTGTGGTCAATGAGAATGCCAAGGAATTTGCCATCTAATTTGTTACAAATTTGGGTATTGTTTATTTTGAGATTTATTTGATTAGAGGATTTATTGCCAAACAGAATATAGAAAGTTTTGTCAATGTTAAGGGTGAGTTTGTTGGCAGTTAGCCAAAGATGGACTTTATTTAGCTCAGTATTTACTGTGGCATTTAGAGCAAGCGGATCAGGACTGGAGTAAATGAAGGTTGTGTCGTCAGCAAATAGAATTGGTTTGAGGTGTTGGGAGGCATTTGGAAGGTCATTAATGTAGATGAGAAAGAGGAGAGGGCCAAGTATGCTGCCCTGAGGAACACCAATGTTGATGGGTAGGGTGGGAGAAATTGAATTATTCACAGAAACATACTGGGGCCTGTCAGTAAGGTAGGATTTGAGGTATTGCAGGGAGTGTCCTGACTCCATAATGATGTAATTTAAGAAGAAGGTTTTGGTGGTTGATAGTATCAAAAGCTTTACGCAGGTCCACAAATAACCCAACAGGGAACTCATTTTTATCAAGAGCTGTATGAATCGAGTTAAGCATACTAATAAGTGCATCGTTAGTGCTTTTTTTGGGTCAGTAGACATGAAAGAACTTTGTGACTGATGGCACCAAGCAATTTTACAGTTCTGTACTGTGTATCTGCATAGTGGCTTCAGAAAGTCACTGTTGCTCGCCCAAAAATTGGTGTTGCATTATATTCTCTGTTGGTTTTCCTGTGGAATTTTGTTTTTTTTAGTTTGAGTGGCTTGTAATTACCCGAGTGTAGTTACAGGATGAGAGCTACATTCGTTGTGTCCTGTCTTCCCAGTACTCTTTGTCATATAATGCTTTGAATGAGGAGTGTGGCTGGTGAGGATCCCATTTGACCTGGGGTGCCATCTTGTGACACTTGGGGGGCATTAGCACTGGGATTAGGATTAGGACTAGATTATTCCACATAACATTTGCTTGACTTTTTTCCTCATGGTTTTTTGTATCCATTCAAGCAGTTGGTTGTTTTCATGTTTTTATATTTGTGTATTTATTCTTGGGTTTGGGTTTATCTCTAATCCCTAAGCTGCCCACACCTCTTAGAAAGAGCCAGATTCTGGTTCTGGGTTCTGGTAGGCATGGGTGGGTCTCAGAGTTCTCCTGAGATTCCATAAGTCTTTGCACCCTCTGTGACCCAACAGTAAATAGTATTTCATTTCATTCAACACACAATTTTGATATGTTAGAGTAAATTTTTTTTTTTATTTTATTTTATTATAGGTGGTTTACCAAGCAGATTGCTGAGTCCTCTTAATGAAGATGCAGCTATTAGTGCTGCACTGGAGGAATCCATTAAGACCAAGGTTTTAGACGACATGATGCGCAAGAAACGGGAAGCCTTACTTATTGAAGCATCTGGTCTAAAGAAAACTAAAGGAGCTACTGATATGTGTAGCAAAAGTGAAAAGGTAAATTAATGCATTTGCAGTACCGTAGTTTGAATTATCAAATTATGCAATACTATGCTATATAAATTGGGATTGCCGTTAAACTTGCTCTTGGTGTATTGCCTGTCCTTCATATTCATATCCCTGGTTCTTTTATTGTTGATCCTATGTTGGTTGCGAATTAACTGGGTTCACACTTCTCGGCTGTTCACTTCAGTTCTCGTCTCCTTCCTTCCTTCCTTCCTTCCTTCCTTCCTTCCTTCCTTCCTTCCAAGTCCTATGTTAAATCTCGGCCCTTGGACAGCGGCTATGGAGAAATGGTCATACCTGCCTGTACACAAACAACTAAAAAATAAACAAATGTTTTCATTGTAGAATTAATTAATTTGTATGCAGAATATAAGAAAAACATGAAAATAAGTGAATATTTATTGTTTCACTGCATGGAGGCACTCTACATGGCTGCATCTGGCACTTGTCAATGCCTAGTGCTTGACTTTGCCGACACTCTGTTTTATCCTCTGATGTTTCACTGATTGTTTTATGACTTTTTATTTATTTACATCCAGAGATATATTATTGGTACAGTACAATGGGGCCTCGACTTACGATGCTAATCTGTTCCCAGTGACAGATCATAACTCAACATATTGTAAGTTGAAGCGATTTTTCCCTTAAGAAATAAAGGGAATTGAATTAATGCGTTCCCCACCCTCCAAAATATTAGCATACAAATACATTTTATACTGAACACAATGTTTTTTTCTAACTACAATACAGTACCTAAGTTGATCTTACCTTTATGGAAGGCTCTTGATGGCGTATGGAAGATGGTGATGAAGGGGCAGGAGGAGAGTTGTTACTGTTTGGAAGGGGAGTCCCTTCCATTATAACATCAGGCAGTGAGGACCTTTCTGGTGTGCACTCCCTGGCACGTTTTGCCTGCATACCACTAGGACTTGGTTGTGGTTCAGTGCATTGTCTCACTACAAATTTATCAAGAGACATTTGTTTTTCCCTTCGTTTTAACATTTGTCTGTAATGATGCATCACAGTGTCATTGAATAGGTTAAGGCAACGGCCTACTCCAGCTTGATTTGGGCGAGTCGTTTCAGCAAAGGTTTGCAATTCTTCCCATGCTGTACACAGTTTCTTAATTGTTGAGGAAGAGACATTCTGTACTCTTGTTTCTGCTCTATGGTCATCCTTACATGGGTTTTCATATGTTGAGCCTTACCACTGACTTTCTTGGGACTCATGGCGTGATATATAATAATTACTTTAATGTTCAAAATGCAAAAAATCACCACAAACGCGGAATTTCTTATAGGCGCAATCATCACTAAGCGGGCAGCTGTAGTAAACTGAGGCAGGTCGGACCGCGTGACCGGGAACTCGGTTGACCTGAACGTGTACCAACAAATATCGGAAGTCAACGACGCCATCGGATGTCGTCGCATTTTTTTATCAAATTTACATCGTAACTCGAAATTATCGTAAGTAGGGGCAATCATAAGTCAAGGTGCCACTGTATATCCATATTTGCATCATTCATGTAAAAACAGTCAATAATTGTTTAAATTATCATATGATGATGGACTTCATTCCCCAAGTAACATTCATAACGATAACCACATTCGTAACTATAAAATGGTAGGAGGATTTTTTCATGAGTCAAGGTAATATCCATTACATCCATATTTGCATTATACTGTACATGTAAAACCAAGATAATAATGGCTGAAAACATTATACTGTGTGATAAGCGCATTACCCTAAGAATCGTCAAACGACGGTAATCGCCACCTAAGAGATAACACTCGCTTTCAGCTTTCTACACAGCTTTCTCTTCACCCTTTGAGTTTCAGTCCACCTCCCTATGCAATTTCAGTGGCAGGATTGGATGGTGTACACCAAGATGCTCTGCCATCTTTGTGCATTGCTTGTCCCTTGATGAATTATTCTTGTCCCTCGGTGAATTGATCTCTCTGATGTCACTTGCCTTGTGTCCTTTTGTTCTTGTATTGGCATCCTGAATGATCTTTAGCACCTTTTGAATGTCCACTGACTCAGATGGTGTTTTGTGCCTTCTTTTGATAATTACATTTTGTTTAACAGTTCAAGGTACTGTGTGTGAAATTCAAGATTAAAAAATTAATGGTGACAATTTAAATTACATATGTCTTCTGTGTGGTGGAAATGAAATATAAAAATACATTTTGGGGGGAAGCTTTATCTCTGTATAGTTGTGCCATGTGCTGAAAATAACTTTTTCATAATAGAGTATTTGCATAGGTTAGTAGTACAGTTTTGATCTTTGCAGGAATTAGGGTCTGCCTCATGTCCAAAGGAAGGAAGTCCAAGAAAAGTCCCTAAACTTAGTCCAACGAGGCACATGACAAGCCCCAAGAAGAGAAAGCAAGATAGACTTAGTAATGAGAATAGAAGTCCCAATAAAAGGAAGAAGGTTGAACAGCAGAGTAAAATGAAAAAAGATGCAGCAGAAGAAGTGTTGGAATTAGATCAGCTGCTGAAGCAAGTCAATGACAGTCCAGAGCAGGAGACTGCTGTAGAAAAGAAAGCGCAGAGGAAAGCCGAGCTTAAGAAGCCTAGAACTAAAGTCATCGATGATAGGTACTTTTTAAATATATTCTTTTCTATTGTTGGGTAATTTATATGCCATTTAATGCTTACTAAATGCTCATCCCTCTATTCTTATTTTTTTTGTCAACATTTAACTTTCATCTGCTCATTAACAATTTACTATTTTCTACAATTTTTTCACCCAATTTTATAAAAATTGCATCTCTGTCTCTCCTGCACTGCCTCCCTCTTATAGCTGACATCTTCCCTGATGAATATCCTACTCATCCCCTGATGAATAGGAACATGCCAATATGTGTCTTTGATGTCCAGGGACACCATCCAGGCACCCGGCTCCAAAAGAAACCGGACCTGAGACATAGTGGTCATCTGAAAGGAGGGGCAAGGAATCCATGGGTTCAGACGGGACAAGTCAGAGTGACCCTCAGATCAGCACAGTCCCATTTCGGCACTGGAAACAGGCGGGAAACCCACCTGAGGGACAGGGACCATTTCGACCACACCCTAGCGGACCTACTCCGAGATGTCCTGATGAAGCCCAGGGGAAAAAGCCTGCCCGCCAGCCTCGAACCTACCAGAGGAGGAGGAGGAGGAATCCCCAGCACCACCTCAGGCCGGATGACATGACCCGAAATGCCCACGAATCGTGGGACCAAGTGTGAGCAAACAGTGCGAGCTTTCCCCCCCATGGCCCCATCAACGGGGGAACCACAAAATGGCCGACACCCCTTAAGAGAAGCTGGCCGACAAACAAAGCGATCACCGCGCCGACCAGACAATGCCGGCTCCGAAGGAAGCGCCAGCTCAGAAACTGGCACCAATGGCCCACTCCGACCAGAGGAACCCCGAACCCTGGCACGACCCTGCGAAGAAGGTCGAGAACGTCCACCCCGGAGAACCAACAAGTCCAACATAGGACAATAACTAGACAAAGCCGCCTGCAGAAACTGTGCGACAGTAGACCCCACAAACAGCAATGGACAAAACGACAACGAAAACCTAAGAGCCAGGGCCTAAGTATGGCTTGCTCTCTCAAAGAGAGAGCGAGCACTAGGGGAGGCGAGAAGCAAAAAAACAGACACCTCCTTCAGGATAGCCACAAACAGCTTCAACAGCGCAGCCAACGCCCTTGCTGCCGAAGCCAACACACCAGACGAAGGCCTGACACTCAATGCCTCCACATTCTCCTCAAGCCAGGCCGAAGACAGCTCGAGAAGGGAAAAGAAGTACAAGACTACAGTCAAATGCCCACGGGCGTGCAAATCCTCTGCAATCAAGGACGCCAAAAGGGTAGGAACCTGCAAGTGAAGCTGCATGAGGCCAACATCCAGAGAAGGCATAGGGTGAGCAAGCACACATTAAGGTGCTCAAATTTGCCCCCCCCCCCCCCCCCCCAGGTAAACCTGCAGAACGATAGACGTTTCTCGCCACTCAAGCGTATGGGTCCGACCGAATCCATGCCACGCTCCCAATGAAAAGAAAGGGCAGTCCGCCAACCAGGAAGACTCCGGAACCTCCAAATGCACCCAATATGGGGAAGAACAACTATCTATATTTAGATAGATAGATATATAGATATGAACAAGCCTGAATGGTCATATATAGATATATATATGACCTATAGTCATATATATATATATATATATATATATATACTGTATATATATATATATATATATATATATATATATATATATATATATATATATATATATATATATTATATATATATATATATATATATATACAGTGGTACCTCGCATAACGAATTTAATCCGTTCCATGTTCGTCATGTGAAACGGACGTCATACAAAACGAGTGTCCCCCATGTAACCAGTGTGATGCACTGTGTTTATTGTGAAATTTCCCCAGAGTGCATGACATCAAATGTTCCCCAAAATAATATTTTTCTTTGTAAAATGATAAATTACCGTCCCTGAACATGTCTATGTAAAAATAATTACCAAATTCCACTTACTTTGGCTGTGAGGGCGTGGACAAGGTGCGCTGTGACGTCATCAGGGCCTGGTCGCCCGTGTGTGAAGCTCCCAGACACGGTCGCGCAGGCCATTCAAGCACCGCGTGTTGCCACAAATATATTTTCAAATATTTTTTCTATGCATTTCCAATGCGGTTTTATTTGTTTCATTTATCGTATATGATGCATATTTGTGACCTTTACAATATGTATACAGTAGAATGTTCATAATTTTCCATGAAACTGTGATACATGTGTCAGTAATGTGTCCACAATAAATGTTTGTCACAATATTACGTGGTAAAAATTCACTAATATTACAATATGTACAGTTTCACATACTATTTACACAGTAACACACTGTATTACACACTCAGTACTTTGGAGGTGTGTAATAGTCAACGAAGTAGTCCATGGTACACAGCGCGACTTTGCTCTCCTTGCACCAGCTACAGATAGATTTTTGCTTCCTGTTTCATCGTTATGTGTGCTTGCAAATAACGCACTTGCGTGCACCCTTGGCTTTAGTACTTGTAGGTGGTATGTAGCCAAGCTTGTAAAGCATAAAGTAGTATTGAAACGATTATAGGAAAAGCTCAATTTGTAAGGTAGTCTTGAAAAGATCGCTTTGTAAGGTCCCACACAGGAAGAGATTCAGCTAGCCTCAAAGAGTGTCCATCAGTCAGGAAGAGATTCAGCTAGCCTCAAAGAGTGTCCATCAGTCAGGAAAAGATTCAGGTATTCTTGAAAATATCAATGAACACCACCACCATGGAAGCCGCTAACACTGTTAATCTATGCTACTTGTATCAGATGCATCATCACTGAACGCAGAAAACGATTCATCTATGTATCATCTATATACATTAGAGATGGCAAGGGTGGGGCTCAGAGCTACACCTGGATACGCTTGCTGTATCATCCTCATAGGTGCTGTATCACTGGCATCCGACCGTTGTGTTAAGCCCTTATTGCGCCTAGCTTCACCAATGTTATGACCCTATGTTCTTCAAACAAAAGGGTCTGAATTGCACCGACTGAGCTCAGTCTTTCAACACCGTGTGGGACAGGTGTTTGAGAGCCAGAGGCACGTGTGCCACAAATGGTTGCTCACGCAGTACTAACCCAGCCAGCAGCCCTTGTCTTTCATATTCGTTATGGCAAAAGGTTCGTTCAGTTTTTGTTGGGTAGGCTGCTCCATTATGACAATCTTTCTTTGTTTCAAATGTGTTCCATTTGTTTTGTATTTGTCACTTACGTCTCAATAATGGAGCAGCCTACCCGACAAACACTGAACGAACCTTTAAGACATTTGTCCATTTTCAAATTGTTTCAACAGTTCTTTTATTTTCGTTTTTTTTTTTTTTTTTTTTAAGAAACATGGAGCAGCCGACCTGTAGACCACCGAACGAACCTTTTTGACATTTGTACTGGTTTTCAAAATTCATCATTTTTTTTATTATTTACGTTTTTGTATGTAAGAAACATGGAGCAGCCTACCTGCCGACCACCGAACGAACCTTTTGCTATAAGGCAAATGAAAAATAAATATTGAACACATTTGAAGAAAGGAAAATGCCATAATGGTTTATTCAGTGTATGTAAGGTAGGCTTCTCCATTATTGAGACGCAAATGACAAATAAAAAACAAATGGAACACATTTGAAACAAAGAAAGATTGTTATAATGGAGCAGCCTACCTGCCGAACACCGAACGAACCTTTTTGACATTGTTGTATATCAGACATTTCATTTCTTTTTTCCTACAAAAACGTCAATGCTTTGCAACATCTCAGTAGTCACCCTTTTATATCCCAGCATCATTAGCATCTTTAAACAAGAACAACATAATTTATGTGCATCGTCGGAGGCGTCTAAGAATGTGCAAGAAGCAGCGCGACCCCACCATGTGGTGTTGACGTTACTCAAACCAGCGTTCGTCATAAGGGACGATTTGACGCCGATCGGGCCGTTCGTTACCCAAAATATTCGTCTTTTGGGGCAATCGTTATGCGAGGTACCACTGTATATATATATATATATATATATATATATATATATATATATATATATATATATATATATATATATATATATATATACATACATACATACATACATACATACATACATACATACATACAGTGGTACCTCGGAATGCGATTGTCCCTGTATGCGAGGTTTTCGGAAGGCGAGCAGTATTTACTCCAAAAATTTGTCTCAGAAGGCGAGGGTTACTTTGGGACGCGAGTTTGTTGATACGCGTACAGGCCGACCTAGCGCGTGGTGGTTCGGCGATCGTCGCCCCTCCGCCCCTCAGTTTACCATTGTCTCGCGCTCAGTGACTACCCCCACATCAATTCTTCTCGCGGATTTTCAGTGTTTTGTTGGATTTTTGGTGATTTGTCTATACAATTTATTATATATCTCACCATGGGTCCCAAGAAAGCCAGTGGTAAGGATAAAGGCCAGAAAGCTCATGTGAGGATGACAATAGAGGAGAAACAAGAGATCATTCGGAAGCATGAGAACGGTACACGTGTTGTTGAACTTTGTAGGCAGTACAACAAAGCCACATCAACAATATGCACTATACTTAAGAAGAAAAATAAGATTATGGGTGCTAAAGTGGCAAAAGGAGTAAGAACATTAACGGCACAAAGACCACAAATACTTAAAGAAGTGGAAAAGTTATTAATTTGGATACACGACAAGGAGTTGAGGGGTGATAGTGTTTCGGAGGCCATTATTTGTGAGAAAGCCAGGGTGTTGCACGAAGACCTTCTAAAGAATACCCCTGCAACGAGTGATGCAGATAAGAAAGAGTTTAAGGCAAGCAGGGGCTGGTTTGAAAAATTTAGAAAGAGAAGTGGTATCCATAGTGTTACAAGGCATGGGGTTATGTGATGTGATTATGGAAGGGGACTCCCCTTCCAAACAGTAACTCCTCTCCTCCCCCCTCCTCACCATCTTCCATACGCCTACAGCACTCGACAGCAAGGTAAGTAATAACTGGAACACAGTTTTGTAGGTTTATTTAGATGAATTAGGTATAAAAAATTTAGTTTGATGTGGGGTTTTTGGGGTAGTCAGGAACGGATTAATTCATTTCCCTTTATTTCTTATGGGGAAATTAACTTCGGAATACGAGTTTTCGGAAGGCGAGGCGTCTCCAGGAACGGATTAAACTCGTATTCTGAGGTATGCCTGTATATATATATATATATATATATATATATATATATATATATATATATATATATATATATATATATATATATATATAATATTGTGACGGTAAAGTGTTGGAGTGCTGATGTTCGGCCGTTTCAATAGCTGGGGGCAAGGCCTCGTCACATTTACAGAGAAAAAAAAAAGAAGATCGTTTGCCCGTTTGTCTGTGGTAAGGTAATGGGAAGACACACAAAACACAAAGTATAAACAATGAAATTTTAATTACTCTAGAAAACAAGATATGAATAAAGACAATCTCTTGGCTTACGTAAAATTCAAAACAAGTCAACAAACAAAACATGAATAATTAATGGCAGTAAATTTACTCTAAGACAAAATAAAGTGCAAGTAATAGTAATGATATAAATCAAATCTGGTGCTGAGAATACTGGCTTCAAGCTGCCACCTCCCTTAGTACACGACAGCCAGAGCTTTGTCTACTATAGAGAGATGTCAACTCCAAAGAGCACAGAGATATTCTGAGGAGTACGGCGTGTGCTGGCCCACACGTCGACTCAGGTAGTGGCGTGAGTGCAGGTGCGGCGACACACCAGCCAATCAGGAACAGGCAGGCGGAGAATGAGTAGTTTGCTGGTTTGACGGCGGGCGGGAGCCGGTGTGTCTGGTGGTGCAAGGTACGCTTTGCTTCCTGGGCAAAATGTTTGGCGATACTGGTGGATGTATCTTCAATATAGTATCTTGTACTTGGATGACGTAAATTTTGTAGGGAAGAGCAGGCTCAATCTCTCTTGAAAGAGATTATCGTCACAATATATATATATATATATATATATATATATATATATATATATATATATATATATTTAATTAATTAATTAATTATAATGTGTGTGTGTGTGTATCACGAAAATAAACACGTGATTAAAAATGTGTCAGACCATGGAGGAAAATGGAAACAGGAATTTCCTTAAGTACTTTCGTATATTAATACATCTTCAGAAGGAGTTCAGAAGGAGAATTCCTTCAGAAGGAAGGATTTCCACTCCATACCAATATAGAAGCATCAAGAGGAAGTATGGGCTAATAGGCCCTTTGCAGTTACTTCCATTCTTCCCTCTCATTTATCTCATTTATACCCATTGCACTGTGTTCTGTCTTGTGTTGGTCAAAAGTTTGTTCACCTCATCCAAAACTGTTGCAACATATAACCTCGCCCAAATGTGAGTATATAAGACAATCTGTTCAATGTTAGAATTAAGTAAAACTCTGTTTAGTGTTTTCAGGTTACAGTTGTGTGTGTGTAATATAAAGTCTTTGAAAATGTAACAAGTTATTACGAAACGCGTTCAAGCGTCGCGTCAGACTAGAAATAAATGAATTTTGGAGAATTGATTTTTCAATTACCATCGACAGTAAAAAGAAACATAAGAAATATTGAGAAAATTCGTGTTAGAATTATTAATCTTACTTTTTCGGTCATATTTAACAACATATGTTTACAAGAAAGACTGCTACCAAAATATACTAATATATATATATAAATATATATATATAAATATATATATATATAAAACTGTCTACATTTGTATGCATCACAATGAACCACTACAGTTCTGGTGGGTGTGGCAATGAACTCCTAACACAGCATAGCACCACATGCTAAGCTTAAAAATATCTTTAGTGTTAACCTTGGGGAAGAATGCAAAGGAATATTACTTTGAATCTTTATTATAATCAAACCCATTGCAATTCCATTCGTTTGGGACACATTCTTCTTGTTCAGCTCTTTCTTCCTTTGGGATCAAATTAATACTATTAGTTTAAGCATTAAACTAATAGTATTAATTTAACTATTATTAGGTTCTGATTGCTAGGAAATTAAAGATAAATTTCCCTACTTTGCCAATAATTCCTTTTTGAGTGAATGGAATGGAACATTTCATTAAATTCAATTGTGATTTTTTTTCATTCAATTTCAAAGCTGCTTTATTATCCATTCAGCTTTGACGTCCTTCCAATTACAAAGGAGCCCGATTTTGCCCACCGTGGCGAAGTGGTCCGGAAGAAGGCGGCCCGCAAGCAGTTGAAGGGCTGGAATTGTCAGGAATGTGAACAGTGGTATGCAGCTGTTAACTCACAAGAGAAAGAGGTAAGTCTCTTTTTTCTCTTTATATTATTTACTAATATTAAAAGCCAGTGTGGGTCCTGTAAATCTTAGAATGTTATGGGATGTCAGAAACTTAGTTTCGTGGTGTTAAAATCATACTAGTTCATAATACTGTATATGCAAATGTTTCTTGTTAATACAGTATTTAAATTGCTTACTGAATGTGTTATAAAAAATATTAAATATAGTGACAAGTAAGATGATTATTTCCTTTATAAATTTTGTGATATATATAAATTATATAATCACATTGAAAATGAATATATAAATTACAGAAAGTGGCTTAAAAATAAGGAAATAGATTTTTGCAAGGCGAGTTTGTGAAACGATAGTTTTTCTCTGCTTTACTAAATATAGAAATAGAGAACAGTGGCAGAATTGGTAGACTGTGGTTTAGTGGTGAGACAAGCACTTAAACTGTACATGTAAGAGGACTCTTTTTTTTCTAATCCTCATCAAGATGGAATTGTTCTAAGGAAAGCACATTACTAAATAACCAAACATGTTCCAGTTCCTGGCTTGAGACCTAAATCCCTGCCCCCTCTCTCTCCCCCTCCCCATTAAAAAAAAAGCAATGTCGTTGATATTTTGATTGTTGCTGCTGGAGGCGGCTAGTTTATTGTGCACCCCATACTCATCCTGTGAGGGTAGCGGAAAAAGCATTACAGAGGGCACAAAAGGTCTTTATCAGAGCTCATCTTAGATTATTACATAAACAATTCCATTTGTCCTTCACACCTTATAATAACAATATCACACCTTATAGTTACAGAGAATGTTCTATTTCAAAAGCTATATATTTACAGTAAGTAATTATACATTGATGGTAGGTCTTATTGCTAACACAGAATTGTTTGAGCAATTGAGATATTACAGTTATTGGGGAGCTGCTGTTTATTATTAGTCTTCACAATACACTACTTGTTTCTTAATCTCATGTCTTTATCTACTGGAAGCAAAATATGGATACAGGGCAAGGATTTCAGATATTTTATCCTTGTTATAAGATAGGTTGCCATATCACACAGCATGAGCTTAAATTTATCTCTAAATGGCTCAATTTGAAGTTATATCCTGTGGTATCTATTGTATCTAATGTGAAAATCCTTAACAAATTAATATTTTTGGGAAGGCATGCTTCAGTAGCTCTCCAGTACTTACTGCCGTAACAATGCTAGGCCTTGAAGACCCACAATGACTTACTGGGAGCCAGGACCAGAATCTAGTTCTCTATACAGTAAGGGGACCCTGCTGATCGGAGAGCTATCTACCCAAAGCTTAGGAAAACCGACCAGAGAATCAGACAAAGCAAAGTAAACAACTGCTTGAAAGAAAGAAATTAAACATAAAAAACATCTCAACTGGTAGTTTGCTGCAGGTGGACAACTCTAACCCTAACTTCCTAGGCGGCCACCAGATGGCAGGCCATTTAGTGGCTGCCATCTCACTTATTTGTCTGGTATTGTGTTTGCTGTCCTTTTATATTTTTGTTCTGTGCAGGGCCATTGCTCCTTTTTGTTCTATCCACATCACGAGTGAATTTTGTAGGAAGCCCCTCTGTAGCTCCTCAGTGCTACAAGATGGCCCCCATGGAAGAAGCTAAAGTCAGCCAGGGAAGTGTATAGAGGTTCACTTCAGTACCAACAGAAAGGAAGACCCTCTAAAGCAAGCAACTACTAAAAAAAAAAAAAAAAAAAAAAAAAAAGAGAATTCTTTCTTTAACCTTATAAACCCCTTATCACTGCTTAATTGCAACATAGAACCCTCATTCGTTATCAGATGGTGGCCCCAAAAACTATGGGCTCTAAGCAGCCTACCAGCTCATTTCCATGTCGGGGATCCATTTGGTTACACACTTCTCTGCAGTGCCTTCAGCTTTCAGATAAGTGGTGTGACCATTCCAGGTTCCATGTGGGCCCATTGCTTATTCTTCTGAAAAGTTGCTTCACTTGTAGTTCTGTGCCATATGTTTCATGTTCTCTTATTATTAGTTTGCTTCAGCTGCATGTGGCCAGGGTTTGCTTAACTGGTTAGTGGCTTGCATTGCCCAGGCGCCTCTAGGGTTATTTCCTGTAGGGGATTTCGGCTTCCTCATCTACAGGCCGCCACTGCCTCAAGGTGTCATACCACCAGGTTATGCATAGGCATTGGCCCCTTTGTGGGGCCTGGGGGATGGAGTTCATCTAATTTTAAACTTAAGCTTATGTGTTTAATATTGCCCTATTATGTGGTATGCACAGTGAATTTAATGCAATCTTTCATATGTGGCTGTTTTGTTGTCTTTGCTCCTGTTTTCCAGAAGGTTGCATTGTAACTGGCTGGTGAGTGTGGTGTGGCATCTCTCTCACCCTTCTCCCACCAGTCTTTGTGTTTGAAACTGCTGTGTGCTCTCTCAGGTGTGTTGAGTTCTCGTGCCTCTGATGGATACTCCTGCTTCTTCCATTATTCTGCCTTTTGAGGATGGGAGTCCTTTCGCTGTTTGTAGGTCTTTCTCGTTTTGCGGCTGGATTTCTGGGTCAGACTGGAACATTACTGCCCTGCATATGGTCTTGGTCAATGACCTTTGCTGGAAGCTGTGAGGTTTGGGTTTGTTACATTTTAGTGGGGCATCCTTCTGACATGTTTGAAGTTTCGAAGAGTTGGTGAATCAACAACCTTGTGATTTACAGACTCTTGTTTACTCCTTCATGGTGCCTCCTAGGTATTGAAATTGAAATTGAAATAAGTTTATTGAGGTAAAATACACACAAAGGGATGAGGTAGCTCAAGCTATTCTCACCCCGTACAGTACATCGTGTTAATACATACATATACACACATCACAAACAATAAACATATTACCAAACATTCTGAGAGATAAACATATACATTTCCTCCTTTATACAAGTAACCTAGGTATTGTTGTTCATAAGTGTTGAGCCAGGTGGACATGTCGCCTCTGCTATTTATTCTGGCCATTCTCTATGATGTGCAGGGGGGGGGGGGGTTATGTTCTTTACCTGATGGTCCAGGATTGTTCACCTAACTATCCACGCATAATGGGCTTGCCGAAAAAGTCTCCCATTCAAACTATCACTAATAGAGTAATCTCATTCATCTTTGCCAACATACAAGGACTGAAAACAAGAACAAACAACAAAGCACAGTTAATAAATGGCCTCCTCACGGAGTCAAATGCAGTATTTGGAGGTTTCACAGAAACCCATGCAGGGGAATTGTTGGACAGTGAGATCTGGATTCCAGGATATAACCTATACAGGTGTGATAGGAAAATTAGGTCACATGGAGGAGTGGGTCTGTATATTAGGGAAGACCTTGTATGCTCGGAGCTCCTAAACGTTACAAATGAGGTGGTAGAGGTACTGGGATTAAAAATAGAGAAATAAATTTAGTGATTATTCTAATATACAAACCGCCAGATGCAACGGCTGAGGAATTCACAGAACAGATAAACAAAATAGAGAATAGCCTTGATAATTTGGAGAACCCGATACCTGATATTATCTTCCTAGGTGACTTCAACTTGCCTAGTCTCAGGTGGAAAATAGCAAACAATAATATTATACCAGGAAATCTATCGGGACCTAACCAACCACAGATTAGAGAACTACTTAGATTCTGTGACAAATTTTCACTCAATCAGCAGATATCAGAGCCAACGAGAAATGAAAATATTTTAGATCTGGTCTTTACAAACAATGAAGACATTATCAGAGACATTACGATATCAGATACCACATACTCAGATCACAAGCTCATTGAAGTGCAAACGACCATCAATACTCAGAATAGACCTGAAACGTTGATAAAGCGAGAGGGGCTATTCAGTAAATTCAACTTATAAACAGATAATAAACAGGGAACTTACAAACATTCCATGGGAAACTGTTCTAAGTAATACAAGTCCTACAGAAGGAATAGAAAAACTGACTTCGGAAGCATATCAAGTCTGTCTGAAACATGTTCCTTTGAGGAAAGCCAGAAAGAGATCCAACGTAGAAAGAGAACGCAGACGACACTATAAACACAGGAAAAAAATAACGAAACTGCTTATGCAGACACGAATTTCCCGTCAAAGAAGGAATAATTTAAATAGGGAGATTGAAGAAATCGAGCGGAAATTGAAACACTCATATGAAACTGAAGAAAGGCAGTTAGAACAGAAAGCAATTCAGGAAATAAAGAAAAATCCAAAATATTTCTTCACATATGCGAAATCAAAAGCAAAAACCACTGCCAGTATTGGACCTATTCGTACAAGTGAAGGTTCATACACGGAGGATGACAAAGAAATTAGTGAAATCCTAAAAAAGCAGTATGAGGACATGTTTAGCACTCCAATAAACAACATGAAAGTGGAAGATCCGGACAACTTCTTTATGCGGGATATTCAAACCCCTGTAAATAAACTGATATCAACACGAGCGCACTAAATTTTGAAAGAGAAATTGAAAACATGCCCATGCACTCGGCCCCAGGCCCAGACTCATGGAATTCAATATTTATAAAGAAATGCAAAGTGCCGGTAGCACAGGCACTCAGTATAGTGTGGAGGAAGAGCTTGGACACGGGGGAGATACCAGATGCACTTAAAGTAGCAGACATAGCCCCTCTACACAAGGGAGGGAGCAAAGCATTGGCAAAGAATTATAGACCAGTTGCACTAACATTGCACATCATAAAAGTATTTGAGAGAGTGATTAGGAGTCAGGTCACCATTTTCATGGAGACCAATGGCCTTCACAACCCAGGCCAACGTGGATTTCGACCGGGAAGATCGTGCCTCTCACGGCTACTTGAGCACTACGACAGTCACTGAGGCATTAGAAGAAAAACAGAACGCTGATGTGATATACACGGACTTCGCAAAGGCTTTCGATAAATGTGACCATGGCATGATAGCACACAAAATGAAGTCAATGGGAATAACCGGTAAAGTAGGACGCTGGATACTCA